GTAAGAGAATATCACTCATTTTTTGCATGATTTTACTGCATGATGAATGAGAGAGGCTTTGGCTGAGGTGGATGCGTGTTCTCACTTTTTTTTCTTCTTCATTTTTCACTCATACTCCCCTCATTTTTGGCTTTTGGAGTGTGGATGAATGTGGACTTGCCTCCTTTGTTTCTGGTGTCATGTGTGTGCTAAGTGTTTAGTGCTGTCATTCAGGTGGAAGTTTAATTTCTTAGTTTTATTATGTGGAACTGCAAGTTATGGGATGTGATGGGTGCATAATGACATCTCATAACTTTTCCTGATTGAGTTCATAATGACTTCAGATAACTCACCTTAATTGACATTGTAGTTACATCACATAATTCATCATATTTGAAATCATAATGACATCACATGGCACATGTTATCTTGTCATCTTTATGTCAGGTGGCATATTGATGTCACTTAATTTTCTGACAATTATACCTGTCATGTATTTTTTTTCTTTAATGATAACTGATTTGATTTGCCAGTTTCAGGGGGAATGCAAATAATCATTTTTAGTTTTGTATCCTTATTTTGTCATTGCACTCTGCCATTGATTTCTATGTGTATGATTTTGATATAACATTGATAATTTAAATTTATAAAACTAAAAGGATCTTGAATTTGATTTGGTATGTAAAATAAGCAAGACGTATAAGGTGCCTATAGTGTCATTGACTTTTTTTTTTGTAACTATTTAGTTCATGTTCCATCTACATCAACTTGAAAGAAACTTGCCGTGATCTGTGATAAATGGCTGGCAATAGAGAGTCCAGCATCAAAGTAGCATGTTGTCAAGTGGTTGTCCTGGTCTCTGGCCTTTGTTCTCTGGTAGGCAAAGAACACCATACATATATTCTGGCAAGACAGAGGAAAATTTACCTCCGTACATGTTGATAGATTACGGGAGAGAGTGATAATCTCTCTCTTGCCAGTATTTATGTAGTGTTGGCCTTTGCCAAAGTGTTGAAAGGTGCAGAGGGTTGTTCAGTGGTAGACATTCGGGTGTCTTCTAAATAATTACAGGTATTTTTTTTAGGAAGAAGGAAAAGGTTAAGGTTATGAAAGAAAATTTCTACAATATTTTCTTCTAATGAAATATAGTTCTGTATATGTTTAGAAGATACCATTGTGTCCGCTACAAGCCTTCTGGCAATTGGATGCCAGTTGTCACAGCCTCTTCACCTGTCAGGGCTTCAGCAAAGGCTATCAGATCATCTTTACATAGAGCTCAGAGGTCTCCCAAATTATTTATTTTCAAATTAATGACCAGGTCAAGCTTTATCTTCATGGAATATGTGTTGGAACTTTAAAAACCTTTGCAGAAATGTTGGTCGAACTTCAGGTTGCAGTTCTTTTATCACAGATCATAAGAAGCTTCAAAAGGATTTGAATAGATGATACCAAGAATTATACCAAGAAAAAAATAGCAGATTTGAAAGCCACTACAGGTGTCTCTTAAATATATTTTACATGTTATAACTTTTTTCAGTTCATAAATAGAACAGTGTATTTAGTTTGAACTGGATTTACTACAGTGGTTTGATAATATTGGCTTTGAATAGGTTTGGATATAGAGCTCATTTTTTAAAATTTGGTTAAGAATATCTAAACATTTTTAATGAAACACAGTAAGATAAACCTTTACAAGACATCAAGGGTACATTTGCTAGTATTTACATTAACCATGTACTATCCCTTTACATTTGAAACTTCCTGTGATCAGTAGTTGAAAGACTACAGTTTTATATCAAGCCAGTTGAAGGTATAATATAGTCTATACTGACATAGCAAAACCTTAAACTGATTCATTTCATAACTTCATTAAACAATTAGGTTTAAGAGTTCTTACCTTGTCAGGAAGAATGTTGGAAGTTTCTTGGCCATTGTCAAAGGTGTCAAGATGCAGCCCGTGGCTCATGCTTACAGATATAGTACTGCACAAATTCGGATTTAGGTATTTAAATTTTTGATATATATATCAGGAAAATTATATAATTTCATCTTACCCTTTGTTATAAGATGAAAAAAGACTGAAACTTCATGGTTATTTCCTCTTTTGATAATGGAGCTTACTAATGAATTCAAGTCACCTTGTAGCCTCTAGGAAGCCTAGTACCCATACTGAAAATATCTAGGGGGATTATTTATTAAATTTACAAGGGTGAATGAAGTATGTCTCAAAAAAAAAAAAAAAAAAAAAGGAGAGACTGAAAATTTCATGCACTGTAAAGCTGAAAGTAGCTATAGACTTAAACTACATTAGATGTGCATCTTTCTCCTCTATATGTAATAGCCATATGCTCTAGTTTATGCAGCAATAAATTAGAAAAAAAATCATTTGACTCATATGTTAACTTTGGCATCATATTTTCTACTAGTCTCACTAAGTTATCAATGATTTTACCAGTTATACAAAAGAATAAGTCAGTGAAGCTTAGTCTTTCTTAATTTTGATGGTTGACAGATAATCAAG